CCCCTTTTCTTGTTAGCTATAACTGTTTAACAGCTAGTTCTTTTTTCCGGTTGTCTTTCCCTTATTCTGGCTACAACTGCCTCGGGAAAAGTTCTGTTTCCTTTTGTCTTTTTCTCCCTTTGTTCCCAAATACAACTGTTTTACAGATATACTTTAAAAAATCTTTGTTTTAAACTTGGACCAAAGTTTAAATCGAAGAATGTGCACTAACTTAACTGGATTTTCAATTCGCTAACCAAGCGAAAAAACCCCAAACAAAACAAAAATAGCTGCAAACAACAAAAACAAATAAACAGACATGTTAGTCTGATCGAGTGTAAACCATTTGTCTGTGCTTATTTCCTTTCCTTTCCTTTCCTTTCCTTTCTTTTTACTTTACTTTAGACATCCTTTGTCCTTCCTCTTTAACCATCTAAGGCGTCTGCTCTAAAAATTCAAATCATCACATACTTTGAGTCAAAATTTAAATTAAATTTGGGAATGCTATCAATGGAGGTTATCGGTCTGCTTGGATGACGACAAGGGTGACCCTGACTGACAAGGTCGAAATAGTCGCCCCCTGCCTGATATCCATCGAGGGTGGGGGGCAAACCCATATTACACTTTGTGGGTCGAACTGGGTCAACACACGTTGAACTGTTGAAACCTAAACCATAAAAAGCAATATTAATTTAAACAGACCAAATTTAAAATAATTACAAATTATGGCATACTAATTTTCGCTCTTATGCCATTGGTCAGAGCTGGATGTTTGGCATCTATTCTTGGCAACACGTTCGTTAAGTTTTCCATAAGGTTCGTGGTATGAAGATTCTCAGGATGGACTACATACATTTCTCTTGAGGGAGAGATGAAATTATTGTTCGCAGGGTCGGATGCTACCAATGGGCCTGGAGTTTGACGCTTAGCTACCTAAGAAATACAAAGTTCAGTATGACATTTTTGGCTGTTTTCAGTTACTAAGACCAACATGAGTTCAGAAACAATATTCTATCTACTGTATCAAAATTGTAAGGTTATTCGGAGTCGTTAACAAGAACTGAATTCGAAAAACAGTGATCTGATGTGAAACTCCAAATCTTTGACGTCAACTTTCTCAAAACTAGGTACTGAGGAGATATAACTTTGTAATTCTGAGGTAGCGACCTTTCATCCACATTTTGTCGATGAGGGTGTTGTTGGTATCACTTTCCTTGATTTTGATGGAAAAAAGTACCCATTCATTTTAAATAGAAGTCGAGATATTTGTT